TTTTTTTTTTTTAACTGCAAGAGTAAAAGGAGAAATTATGACAATAACTCCATTGCAGTTTTCTTTTAAAGTGAAGATCAATATTATTTTGGCCACTTTTAAAATACATTAATTTTCTTTCTAGTTATATGAAGCGTGTCGTTACCTTGCAGCTAGATGCCATGTAAGTATGCTCTCAGTTTCATTTTTTTGGTGAAAGTTTGATTGTGTGAATGTTATGCATCGCTCATCTATGTGTGAGGATTTTGGTGATGGAGCTTGGCAGGTTAGTAAAGTATTTCATAAGGAAATGTTCTTTTTTTTAGTATTGTTTGCTGTAAAATATTGATTCAATTTAATTAATGGATAAAATATTTATTACCCTTTAAAAATGTGGAGTGTGTGTTTGTTTAGTGTTGGAAGTTGTGGGTGATGCGCGGTATTTCTGATTTCTATGCAGTACGCTGCGAAAGAGCACCAGCAGGCCCTTTATTAACTACATCTGCATCTCCTGCACTACCCTTGAGTGAATAGCAAAGAGCGTTTAAAGAAAAGAAGTGACTTCTACGATCAGCGGCGGTTTCATCCATGGTGTCGTTTAGTTTATATTAAAATCCTTGCTCTCCCAGGAAGTTGGAAAGGCAGAAGGGAGGGAAAAGCCATGTTTAACGCAAAGTATTCTGAGTTAGATGCTAAATGATGTGGCCGAATATTTGCAGTACCTTGGAGCGCTGTATTTTTGTGTCCTGTAAGTCAGCTGAATTAAATGTTTTCTGATCATTTTTTCTCTGGCACTGGGATGTAGTGAGGAATGTGACAGGCCTGGTTTCCACCCTCCAGGAGCCTGTATCAAGCCAATTTGTAACCATCCTGTAAGCATTCCTCCTGCCCCTGGCAGTAGTGTTCCTGGTTTCCATTCGGAGGAACTGAGGCAGAGATTGTGGAAAGACTGAGAACTAGAACAGGGACTACAGCTAGCCATGGTAAAACTTGTGAGTGGCTTTCCATTGTCATCTGCTTGATTTTTGTGTGGATTGGCTGGAGGAGGTGAGTTTTTCCCCATGGGTAGTGAAGCTTAGTTAATATACGTATGTGTGTGTTTTTTAAATTTGAGTGTTTTTAAAATTACACCTGTATTATATGAGGTGTTTGAGTAGAGTGTTTTATCTACTAAATTACACTTTGGGATTCATTAACAGTTCACTGAAAGTGTCTATAAATTGCAAAATAAATCATTTGAATTAGCTACTGTTTTGGATACTTGCTGATACATTTTTGCAGTATATGAGTGTTTTAAAAACTACCTTCATGAATGTTATATACGAAGATCTTATAATAGTATTTTTATTGTACCATTAAACCAAAATTCACCCTAGCTGAGATATAAGATAGATGCTTGATATTACACGTAAACAATTATCGTATTGAGACATCGATTTATTATCTAGCATTGTAATTATATCAGACGTTTGTTTAAAATTATTGAAATAAGAGAGCAATTAACCACTTTTTTTTTTTTGTATAGCAACAGTATCAAAGTGCTCTATTTTGGGCAGATAAAGTAGCTTCACTCTCTCATGGTAAGTGACAAAATGCTGATTTTTTTTCTGATTAATCTTTAGAAATTTTTCTATTTCAACTTATGCCTCTGACCATCTATGTAATTTTCCCTCCAGAGGAGCCCCAGGATGTGTATTGGTTGGCTCAGTGCCTCTACCTGACAGCTCAGTACCATAGAGCAGCCCATGC